ATATATATATTTCAATGTTGGATAAGGACATGATAATTTGTGAATTGTTTTTCTTTTAATATCATTTTCTACATTATAGGATCAAAGAGAATTTTATGTATGTTATTATCTGTCAATATTTAACAATATTATATTAATTCAAAAGGTTGAGCAACAGAGAGCCTGAAAATTTTAGTATATAATTGCTTAATCTCCTATTTAATATACAATGGCAAGTGCACCAGATTACTTTGGTGTATGTTGCTTTAGCAAGTGCACCTCATTGCTTTGCTGCTTGCTCATGATCTCTCTCTTTACTGCATCAAGTGTCTTTTATTTTTCATTGTAGAGCAGTTTGGTATGTATTCTTCTACTGTACTGCTGTTTAGAGTGTGTTCTTTCAGTATCATGCTTTTATGTTTTTTTTCTTTCTTTCTTGCTTTTGAATGTGCTTCTCTCTCTTTCTCTCTTGCAAGTGTCATGAAGTATTTTCTTTCTTTCTATATGAAGAGTGGGTTTGGATTGAAGCCTTGAACGTACACTCTCAAGGTTTTTCCATATGAATGAAATGTGTTGAATTAAAGGAAAAGTGTATGTAAAAGTAGTACTTTCTACTTTCTAGTTCCCCACATGTTTTGAGTGCATGCATCCCTCCTATGTGCTCTGTATGAGTGCATTTGTATATGTTTTTTTGTAGTGTAGTTGGATGTGTTTGTAGTTTTTTGGGATTAAACTAACAATATTTTTTATTTCATTCGTTTTCCTTGTTGTCTTATACCATGTGACTTGATTCATGAGCTATTATTTGATCAATTTATCTAGGAAATGGTTCCTTGTTTGTTTTTGCTTCCTATCTATAGTTAAAGGAATTTGCATACACATAGGCTCTTTATTGATTGCTGATTTGGGTTGGAAGGACATATGGCTTGTGGCCCAATGATTTGGCACCAACCATCCTATTGTTGATAGACTTCTTATTTTTTATAGTCTTCTTATTGTTGCATCCAAATTTGGCATCAACCATCCTATTATTGTTGATATACTTTTTATTGTTGCATCAAGATTTGGCATCAACCATCATATCCTCTTAATTGATGTGATGTGCACATATAAAACTCTAATAATATAAATAGATTTAATGATGCAAGACCCGAAACTGTTAAGAAGAACAAGGGACCCATCCACTTTGTTCGATCAAATGGAAAAGGTACGATAGTCTATTTACTATACTCCATGATTTACATTTATTAGATAACTCTTATATTGTTTATAACTAATATATGTCATTTCTTATTGAACTTCATTTCAGATAAAAAAATGTCCATATTAATGAATCAACTAAAACCTTAAGAAAATGGGACCTAGATCAATGACAAGTACCTTTGGTCGAGAAGACCAAATTGAGCTCATTAATTAACATTAGAGTCTCTAGTATCGATCGTAGTTTATTGAGGGCCTTCATGGGGAAATGGTGCAAGGTGACAACTATTGCACATTTGACTGTTAGTGAGATGACTCTAACCTTGTACGATGTGTGACATATATTGAGGATACCTATGACAGGAGAGCCTGTAACCGGCATCAGACCTACAGACTACAAGGTTTTTCTCATGGAGTATTTAGGAGATTGCCCTAAAGGTGATAGCTTATTTCGTCTTAAGCATACTTGGTTGAGGACGAAATTTGGACAACTATAAAAAAAACCTTCCAAATTAAAACTCCTTCAACACACTCGAGCATATCTGCTATATTTGGTAGGCACAACGATATTTGCCGACGCATCTCAAGGGTCAACGCTTACAAGTTACGTACAACTGTTTCGAGATCTCGAGGAGGCTAGGAAGTACGCATGGGGTGCAACAACACTTGCCTTCCTATATCGTTCATTGTCTAAAGTCATGCATGGGGATACGCATTTTAGTGGGTCAACAATACTACTACAGGTAATACTTCTACTTTTTTTTACATATTTACATATTTGCGTCAATATTTTCATATTTGCAGTCTTTTTGGCTTGGAAAACTAATACTTCTATTTTTTTTTTATGCAGTGTTGGATCTATGAACATTTCCCAGCTATAGGCACCAAACCTAAAACTATCACCATAGAAATGCCTAGAGCTTGCAAGTGTAAGAAACATCCACATTGCAAAGACCCATTAACAATATTTGAGGACATCTTAATTGATATTGTTAGTGTTATGTTTTTGTTGTAAGTGACATGATTAAGGTTAAGACATTTCAATTGATAGTGTTTAATGCAAAGACCCATTAACGTTGTTGTGTTATATTATTGTTGTAGGTGAATTGGTAACCAACCATATGAGTACACCCCACTAGATACGCTTAGTAAAGAGAATGCGTTGTGCCGGTCATATCTGATAAGTTTACACATTGCAGAGTATTATATGCCGGATCGTTTGCTGCGGCAATTTGGAAAGTCACAAGTTATTCCCGTGGGGCCTCCTAAGTGGGCGAGGAGGGAGAAGGGGGGTCTACACCCCACTACTTGGAGTGATGAGTTAGCTAGCGAGATAAGCGACTGGCGGCAACGAGAACGCAATGTTGTCAAGGCAGCCACAGATAAATATAGTGGAATGCCTACAAAGGATTATATGGCCTGGTATAACATGTTCACTCATAGATATGGAAATACTCCCTTGTGCCCCCCTTCACAGTCGCAATCAAATACCCTCCCCCCTCGCAGGCCATGATGACGAGAGGATATTGGTATATTATTTTATTAATATATTTTAGTTTTTATTGATTTAAATTAATTATCTATTCAAAGCAGTTATTTCTATGATTTTTATTATCAACTTGCAGCGATTAACCTGTATAGGGATGCTACAAGCTGCACTTGGTGGTGAAGTATTAGTAGGGGAATAGAGAGGTTTAGTACAGGCGACCCACGATTTGTTAGTGCAGAACATTCTTATTGATCATGCCGAGGAGATGGTGGATGTGAGGGCGAGGATACAAATGGTGGGGATGACGACAACGAGAGCGAGGAGACAAATGGTGGGGATGACGACAACGAGAGCGAGACTGATGAGAAATGCAAGACTGAAGAGAGAGATGGTGGAGATGAGAAAAGAGAGAGCGAGATTGATGAGGAAGATGAGAGGAGAACGAAGAGCAAAAATGATAAGGAAAGAGAGATCGAGATTGATGAGGAAAATGAAAGGAGAACAAAGAGCAAAAATGATAAGGGTAAGGGTATTGCAAGTTGGCCAATGGTTGAGGTCAAGAAAGTGAAAGCCGATGTATTTTTTTGGAACAAATGTAAATTTAAAAGTATGAAGCTCTTTTGAGACATAAGTTGAGTATCGAGATTGAAACTGATGTTAAGTTATTTTTGTACAATTGAAGCTACTCTATCATAGTAGCCAATTAATGAAATGTTCAATATTTTTGTTGTCATTGTATTAATGGAATCAATACCCTTTTAAGTTCTTTTTGTTGTCATTATGTTAATGGAATCAATACCCTTTTAAGTTATTTTTGTTGTCATTATGTTAATGGAAACTGCTTGGAAACTTGGTTAAACAAATGTCAATATATTCTTTATGAAGGAGTTTATAAAGATTGATATGATTGCATAAGCATTTTATCTTTGCATAAGCATATGCCAATCTAATCTTTCTTGGTTCATTACATAAGCACTTCAACTTCATCTTGATCAAGTTTTATTACCTTTTGGCCTTTACATTTGAGCACATAGCAACCTCAACTGTGGGGGTCTCTCATGTTAGAGTGGTAAGAGTTATATTTGAATTGGCTTCATTGGCCCCTTGACATGACTTCCCCCTGGCTTGGTAAGAGTTATATCTTACTCTTGTTCCTTTGATTATCTCTCTTGCTTCTTTTTTTCTTTGTGCTTGTATTGTGTAGTGGTTGCAAAGGACAAGGAGAAAGTCTCTCTCGGCTGCTCTAGAGAAGATCAAAGAAGGTTATAATATTGTATATGGAGTTTTCATCATGTTTTTTGCTTTAATGAGTTCATATTTTTTTCTTTTTCCTAATTTATTCCATTTGGGGCTAATTTTGACGTGGATTTTTTTTCTTTTATTTCTTCTTTGTTAAAGAGCTGATGGTCTTCGGGTTGCTATCTCTGTTGTTGGGTCACTGGGCAAGGTCGGTTGCTGAAATTTGTGTGAAAGCCTCTCCCTTGGGGTCGTAATTCTATCCTTATGAATTAAGGGGGAATATGTATCTATTATGAATTAAGGGGGAACCTTGTGAATTAAAGGGGCATAAGTATCTATTATGTGTTAAAAAAGATTGCATGCTGATTTCTAATGAAAGTTGGAAGCTATGAACAAACCTTTAGGGCATGCTATGATTGTGACATGAAAATCCAGGGACTATACATGATTTTGTAACACGTGATTGACCTATCAAATGGTGTCTGAATTAGATCACCACCATTAGAAAGGTCTCTGAGTCTATTTTAATCTTTATGTTTGGGTCCAATTGAAATTTTGAATAATTTGAAAGTTATACTACACTTTATGCACCTATGTCACTGTTGATAGATTGTGTAAATTTTCAGAAATATCACTATAGTTGCACTAAGGTTGTGTTTGACCAAATGAAGTCCAAATGACTCATAACCATAACCATTTGAAAGATACATGAGTTTACTATGAGTTTCATGTTTTAACATTATCCAAATTCTGTATAATTTAAGAGTTGTGTTTCAAAGTATGTGTATTTACCATTGTTGACAGAATGCAGAAAACTCAGAATTTTTGTTCTTGTTTTCATAAGTTTTAAATGATCGAATGGAGTTCAATTTCCTTCAGACCACTGTTATTTGAAAGGTCTATGTGTCCTTTTGAAGTCACTTGTTGAAAGCATTTTGAAATTATTTCTAAATCAATAGTTATACATCAAATTATGAGAATACGTCACTGATGACCAAACTCAGCAACTTCCAGAACTATTGCTTCTGTTACCTTAAGCTTTTGACAGACCAAATGTGGTCCAAATGCTCTCAAATTACTATCACATGAAAGCTAAGAATGTTAACTTCAAAGTTTGTTATGGAATTATATTGAAATTTCATATAAAATTGATGTTTATGCCCCTGTTTATGAAACATACCCCAATATTGACGTTTCAGAATTTCAAGATTCTATATTAACCCTGAATTGGTCATGCTCAAACAAGCTTCATACTTTCTGTAATTGAGGGAGGCTCATACCGACTCTGAAAGAGCAATTGAAATGAAGTAAATTTCCCTCATAAGTTGGATGTTATGTCTCACCTTGCACATGCATATTTCTGATAAGAATTACAATGAATTCTTAGTTGTTGTGTAGATCATACATCTGGTATGCACCGATATGTTAAACATGGATTGATTCTTTTGCAAGATGATTGAAGTTATCTGTTATAAGATACTGAAATGGCACAATAGAGAGAGAGAGAAAGAGAGAGAGAGATGGAGATTTCGTGCAATAGAGGTACTCTAGAGAGAGAAAGATGGAGATTTCACCGAATAGAGGTATTTTAGAGAGAGAGAGATTTCATACAGTACATATATTTTCTAGAGAGAGAAAGAAGGTTGTTTGGTGAAAGAAACCAGTATTTATAGCAGACAAAGAATGAAGGAACAAATGAAGAGCTTGGAACATTTTTGGGGGATCCGGCATTTTTTGAATGCACTCCGGAGATCATAGTCCGACATTTATGAAACGCGCTCCGGCAAAACTGAAACTCACTTCGGCATTTTCTGAAAGCACTCAGGAGATTAGTTCACTATAAAAAAGCAGCCCAACACCTATAAAAAGCACTCTGGAAAAATTAAAAATCACTCCGGCGTTTCTTGAATCCACTCCGGAGATTGATTCACTGTTAATAGGCAGTGCAGAATATAAAAAGGCGCACCGGCAAAACTAAGAAGCACTCCGGCGTTTCCTGAATGCACTCCGGAGAATGTTCACTATTAAATAAGCACTTCGGCATCTGTAAAATGCACTCTGGCAAGATTAGAAAGCACTTCAGCATTTGCTGAAGGCACTCCGGAGATTAGTTCACTGTAAAAAAGCAGTCCGACATCTATAAAAAGCACTCTGGCAAAACTAAAAGGCACTCCGGCTTTTCTTGAACCCACTCTGAAGATTGATTCACTGTTAATAACCAGTCCAGAATCTAAAAAATGCGCACCGGCAAAACTAAGAAGCACTCCGACGTCTTCTGAATGCACTTCGGAGAATGGTCACTGTTAAATAAGCACTCTGACATCTATAAACTGCACTCCGGCAAAATTAGAAATCACTCCGCCATTTTTTGCAAAGCTCTCCGATGATTATTTACTGTTAATATGCAGTCCGACATTTGTAAAATGCACTCCGGTATATTTAGAAACCACATCGGCATTTCATGAGCTCTCTACAGGGAATTGTTTACTGTATAATAGTGCACTCCGGCACTTGTGAAGATCACTCTGGAGAATACTTCACTGTTAAATAGGCAGTCTGGCATCCGTAAAACGTGCTCCGACATATTTGGAAAACACTCCGGCAATTGATGAACTTGCTTCGGAGAATAGTTGACTAAAATTGACACTTGGGCACATGTGGAAAGTACTTCGGCACATAGGTCTATGTAATTGTCCAACCCATGATGAAGCCACTCCAGCGCTTCATTCAAATCAGTCCGGCACTCAGCTTCCTGGACGAAAGGCCAATCCAGTAATTCACTACCTCAGTTCAGGGAATAGCTCATTGGAATCACGGGCACTCCGGCATATGAGGAAAGCAGAACGGCTGTTTGCCTCCTGGAATCCCAAGCACTCCAGTGATACGTTTCCTAGATACACAGGCACTTCAGTCTCGCGTTTTAAATATTCGATCCGACATATTGTTTTCTCATAAGCACTCCGGCGAATAATAACCGTGGTTTGGTGTTAATGAAAATTGGGGTCCATCCACAGGATTTGATCGCACGTTCAAGGTACGAGAAAGGGTATTTTTGATAAAAAATAAACCTTTTTCAGTTGGAGGGTTAGTAAAAAAAGTTTGGGTTTTTTTTTTAAAACAAAGAAAAGATAGATTAGGACGGGTAAAAAGTTTAAAAAGCTCATTTTAAGATATTTTTAATAATTTATTTTAAATTTTTTGGAATATGGGTCCCACAATGTTTTCCGGATAGCACCATCCGAATCAGCATTCTGGCGATCCAAACAGGCGGACTAGCCGCCCCACCGATCTGTTTCTTACGGACCGAGTCTACGGAAAATACGGAACATCCCATAAAGGAGGTGACGGTTACTCAGGCCCCCCTTACCCCGTCCACCGCCATGTAACGCCAAAAGGCACCACCATCTCTATCTCTTCCGCTTCCTTGTAACCCCACAAGCCACCACCATAGCTGCTCTACCCCCTCCATCCTAATTTCACCTCACCCCTCTCTCTTTCTTTCTGGTAATTTCTCATGAATCTCTTTCCCCATGATTCTCTCACACTGTCTTACCTTAAAGGAACACAGTCCGCCTATCTTTTATCAAGTCTCAACTCTCTCTCTATCTCTGCTACCTGGTAATCAGTGGACTCATAGTGATCGATGATCCCGTTCAAAGCCCTTCTGGGGAATCTAAAGATACCCCCTGCAACTACCTCCGCCTCCTCGACTTCGCATCCTCACTCACAATTCATTGAGAACGAGTTCGACTTTGCAGAAAGTTTTGGGCCTCTCACTTCCAAAGCTCCTGTCACACCTCACGATCCGGAAACCTTGTGTGCTCGCTCTCATTCCCTTGTCGGCCCTTCTCCTCGGTTCACGACCCACCTCCCATCCTTCAATTGCTTCTCTCTTTCGTCTGATGACTCTGATGAGGATGAGGATGAGGCCTGCCCTATTGGAAAGTCAATGGATGGAGAGGGGATTGGGTCACCCAATAGAGAGAAAAATGGGCCAGTGGATCAGAGAGAGAGAATGGGCCCTCATGATTTCGAGATTCTCAGGGTGTTAGGACGGGGTGCTTTCGGGAAGGTGTTCCAGGTCAGAGAGAAGCAGAGCAGCAATGTGTATGCAATGAAGGTGATGAGGAAGGATGTGATAATCAAGAAGAATCATGTTGAGTACATGAAAGCTGAGAGGGACATTCTCACCAAAGTTGTGCATCCATTTATTGTTCAGCTCCGCTACTCCTTCCAGGTACGCCATTACCTCATCCTTTTCTATTTTCCCCGTTTCCTTTATGAATTTGACATCCACTATTCAGTAGTCAATACCAGTAAATGAAAAATACAACTCCATATTGTGGGTTGGGTTTGTGACAAACTTTTGGAAGCAACTGGTTTAGCTAAGGCATTGATGCAGAAAAAAAGAAAAAAGAAAATAATATGTATATATATAATTTTTTTTTTTTTTTTATCTCTTCAGGAATAGGAGATTCGCAGGGGTAATTAGGTGGCCATGAGTTTTTTTTGTGCGTGAATTGATATTTGATCAATTGGGTAGGAATATAAATAGGATAAGGTTAAATAACCAACATTGAAGAGGTTTTGGGTAAAACGTGGGCTATCTATTTAGGTTAAAAAAGAGAAAATAGGGATGAGAGAAAATAGGTTAAGAGAGAAAATAGGGACAAGAGATAAAGAAGAAAAACCTGTGTAGAGAGGTTTTTTTGTTTAGTTATTGTTTATCTTCTTTTTAGTCTATTTAAAGGGAGATCTTCCTTCATTGTAAATCAATGAATGAGTTGATTAGAATTTGGTCTTATGAAGAGATTGTTTTTGGGATGGATTCCCTTACAGACATTTGAGAGATAGTTTATTCTCTCGATCTTTTTTTTTTTATTGTTATTTTTTCTGGTTTTATTTTCTCCCTGCATCAATTGGTATCAGAGGAAGTTAGATTTACAGAGAGCAAGTAAGATCCAGAGATAGCCGGTTTGTTTTACAATGCCACCAAAAGCTAATCAAATCCAGAGATATCCGGTTTCCTTTACAATGCTACCAAAAGAAAATCAAGCTAATCCTGCTGCTTTTAATCCAGCTAATCCTCCTCCTATGTTGGAGGATATTGGACCAAAGGCTAGCAGAAAAGGGGCAATGGATGAAGAGATGGGTTATATCTTCCTCGTCTTGAAGACAAAATGCCATGGTTATGAAGGGAGAAACCGCTCTTGTGAACCTTGGCATAGAGTCCAAAGGAATGCTTGGACCTTAGGAGGAGTTGGGAGGGACTAGAGTTTGTTAAGGAGAGGGCAAGGATTTAAGTTAGGGAGAAGGGAAGCATAGAAAGAAGATACAAAGAAGATGTCAGAGGGTGTGGATGACCAAATTAAAGAATCCTCCCTAGATAGGAGGGAGAAAATAGAATTTAGGAGGTGAAGGAGGGAGCTTAGGAGAGGCCAATTAGAGTAAGAGAGGTTTCTTCTAAAAATGGGAGTCCAAGAAAGAAAGTTACCTCTATGCTCAACGTATTGAGCGATGAGGGCGTCTTGATCAGATGCAAGGAGAAACAATGGGGGGAAGAGGTGGTAGAGTGGTTGATCTCCTAACCAATGATCTATTCTGAATTTTATTTTGAGGCCATTTCCAAATGTGAATCTAGTAGAGTTCAAGAAGTGAGATTTGTCGGAGGAGATAGATTTTCGGGCTCCAGAAGCTCGAAAGAGAGGAGAGTGGGGAAGCCATATGTTGTTATCAAGTTTATATTTAGCTTGGACAATGGATTTCCAAAGGAGAGGGTGGGGAGAAGTGAAGTGCGATCACCATTTACCAAAAAGAGCAAGATTCATAGTTCTGAGGTTTTTGAAACCTAGGCCACCAAATTTTTTACGGCTACAAATCTTTTCCTAGGAAACTAGATGGAATTTAAAGTCTTCAGAGGTGCCACACTAGAGAAAGTTTCTCATGAGTTTCTCTAGACAGTTAGCCACCGAGACAGGGATTTGGAAAGTGAACATTTGATAAATGGGGATGTTGGCGAGAGTGGCTTTAATGAGGGTGATTCTTCCCCCAAGGATCGGAATCTGCCCTTCCGAAGTTATCCCAAAGTTGTATCCTAGGTTTCCCTAAACAAAGAGGAAGGCCCAAATATGTAGTGGGTAGGGAGTCAACAACACACCCAAGATGCTGGGCTAGGAAGAAAATGTTGGTGTTGCTAACCCTGATACCTAATATTTTGGTCTTAGAGAGATTAACCTTCAACCCAGTGGCAGCTTCAAAACACCTAAGGAAAAGCCATAGACTATCTACCTGGGGGGTCTCAGCTTCAAGGAAAACAAGGGTGCCATCAATGTAGAGAAGATGGGTAAGGATGGGTCCAGAAGAGGAGGTTTGGAATCCCTTGAGGGTTCTTTGCTCATAAAGTCTGGTAAGGGATTTGGTGGAAAGCTCATCAATGAGGGTGAACAAGAAAGAGGAGAGTGGGTCTCCCTATCTATGGCCTCTAGAGGTGGAGAAGAAGCCCAACGGTGACCCATTGATATGGACAGAGAAGTGGGGTTGGAGATACAAGCCATGATTCAGGATCTCCATTTGCTGCTGAATCCCATGCGCGATGGAAATTCGTCCAGGAGACTCCGTTCAACTCGGTCATAAGCTTTTTCCCAGTCAAGCTTAATGACAAGTCCATTATCCCCTGAAAGGAATCTAGAGTGGATAGCTTCATGGGCTGACAAAGCACCATCCAAGATTTGTCTGTTAGCGACAAAGGCAGATTGGGTGTGGTCAATAACATAATGAAAGACCGCCTTCAGACGGGGGGCAAGAACTTTGGCTAGAATTTTGTATGAAGAATTTAAGAGACTGATTGGCCGGAAATCTCTAAGTTTTTCTAACCCTTCAACTTTAGGAATGAGAGCTAAGAAAGTACAATTGATAACATAATTAATGCGACCTCTATGGAAGAACTCAGAGAAGGTGATGATGTCTGGAGCCATAGTATTCTAAAAATCCTGGTAAATGGCAACCAGGAAGCCACCTGGACCTGGGGCTTTGTCACACCCAAAGTCAAAGACAACCTTCCTAATCTCTTCTAAGGAGAGGGGTCTTTCAAGCCAGACCGCTTCCTCGGCGGACAGAGTTCAGAAGGAAATATTTCCTATGGAAGGTTTTAGAGCATAAGGTAAGGAGAAGAGGTTTTTGAAATATCTAACAAAGCGTCTATTAATCTGGGCCAGCTGGGAGAAAGTGCAAGGGCCAGTTGAAATTTGAGAAATGGTGTTTCCCCTACGCCTGGTGCTAGCAGTTTTATTGAAAAAAGCACTATTGTGGTCTCCAACTTTAAGCCATTTAATTTTGGATCCTTGAGACCAGAAGGTTTCCTCCTATTTGTGGAGAAGAGGATTTTCCTTGGCAGAGGCCCTATTTGCTAGTTCTTGGGTGGAGAGAGAGTCCTAGACTCTTCAAGGGTGTCAACGGAATGAATGAGGGCCATACTATCCCTGAAGTTGCTGGGAATGGAAGGGCTCCATTGTTTGATTGAATCCTTCAAAAGCTAAATTTTATTTGATATGCAACTCATTGAAGTCCTCCTCTCTTCTCTCGAACCTATATCTCACCCAATTCCTCATTCTCCCTTGACACTAGAACTTACCAAATCCATCCTTTTCTCCTTCCTTCTCTAGCCCATAACTCATCCAATAGCTCCTCTCTCTACCTAGCAACTCAATGAAGCCCTCCTTAACTCCTTGGTCTACCCCGTAGCCAACTAAATACCTAGTCTCTCTATCCTGCTCTATCCATCTTGTAACTCATTGACGATCCCTCTATCTTCTATATGTATGCCTTGGATCTCTAGTATTTTGGGAGGAAAATTCTCCGCTTTTTTAATTGTATCTCTACAAATGCGTGCTGGAAAGAGCTGTATTTCTTTGGATTCCACCCAAATTTAGTGGTTTGCAGAAATTTTAGGATGTATATAGCTCAAGAAAGAGTGGCATATATGAAATTATGACCATATATAATTTGGATCTGCAGTTTTTGTCGAACTTCTTAATTCCATATATTGTGTCCAATCTTATTTTTTGTACATACTCCGAGCTTTCTAACTTTTTGAAATAATACGTATAATTATATGGTAAGGGAAATTTACTAATAGTTGCAGTTGAGACAAAGTTCTTTTCTGAGTTTGGGTCTGTATATTAGTGGAGAAATTGTAGCTAATTCTATGCAATGCATATCAAAATAAAAGGTGGGTTTAAGTTTGAAAATGGAGGATCTTTGAATGCTATTGATCAGAGAAAAAATGGCTTGAGAGATTGGTGCCATGCAAACAATGTTGCTTTTCTACCATGCTTGATTGTATTAAACGAGGGTATAGAATTTCAAGGAGGGTGAAGCTCCTTGAAGTTCCAAAGCAGAGAGATAGACAATATTACTTGGACATGTCAGGTATTTTGAGCTATTGTTTATTCCCATTTTTTCCATTTTGGGTGTTCTTTTATAGCTGGTATTGGAGTCTTGTTTGTTAAACTGTTTTGATTAATGGCTCTCTATATGAATCAAAATTTAATAAATTTTCTTTTCGTTTAACATCAATTTAATAAAGTTTCGTTTTTGAGGTAAGTGGCTTTGATGTATAATCTTTATATAGTATAATTTTATATTGATGATTCTCCTTGGTTCTAAATAGACCATTGGAGTTATAAATGAATTTCCTCTTGTCAATGTTTTTTGTGACATCTTGTATGATACAAAGGAGATGAAATACTGAATTTAGGGATCTTTAAGAAAAAGCAATTGGATGGGAGCTTAAATTGAGCTATTGGTTTGAGTTTCATAAGTAAAATGAACTTTTGGGCATCAATAGTTTTTCAAACAGCAAAAACAATCTCACATAAAATTCTAAGAAATAAATAAGGAGTTAAATAGATCTTCAAAATGAAAAAAAGAAAAAAGAAGATAGAAGAAGTATCTTTGCAACTTGAATCAATTAAAGGATATCAGTCGTTCATTAAGTAAAAACAGGAAAAGAAAAACATAATAACACTTACAACTTGAAAAGAGATACTATTATGCAAAAGCCAGGTTATATAAATGGGTTACTCTAAACAGCGTTTGTGCATATTACAGTTTGGTTTCATAATAAAATGTCAGGTTCACCGCACTTGTGAGCCCATGGATTCGATAATGTTGTGCATAGAATTGTATAGTTTGGCATTTTCTTTGATCAATTCAGAGCACTTTGGCTTTGGAATGCCTGAAATTCTATAAAAGTGCATTGAATGTTAAATACAAATGATGTTCAATATCATGTGGTACTCTGGAACATTAAATAAAATCAAATAAAATGTTTTCCTCCGGAAAAAAAAAAAAAAAATGAAGCTCGACATTTTTTATTTATTTAAGAAGATAAATCAAATATGTAAAAAGAAAAACAAGAAAAAGTTATCAAGAGCTGCTGCCAAATGAAATGAAAGAAAGAAAACAAGAGGAAACTTATAGTGCTTTTTTACTTGTAAAACATTTTCTGCAGTCTTAAATTCTCAAATGCAAACAAAAAATCGATTGACCTTCTATAGGCACCACCAATGTTTAAAAAACCAGTCGAGATCCTTTGTTTTATTTATGTGACTGTTTCAAGGCTGTTCTTGTTTTTAAGTCTATATCAGTTTTTGAAAACATGGAACTAGGACAGGAACTGGGCAGGGCCTGGGCTGAGTCGACTTGGCAGGAAACAAATAATGTCACTCGTTGGCTCTCACGTGATTTGGGTCAGACCCTGAGATGTGCGTCTCCACCATAGAACTGCCTGGGTTTGTATTGTGACTCATGTGGTTCAGTTCACTGGCTCATGTCCACTGTGGTTCAGGCCCATCCGGACCCGGTAGGCTGCATGGATCCATGGATATTCCGATTCAAAAGTTTGATATACACATTCTCTACAAGCTTGTTCTCTTGTTGGTTACTATATCCTTTTTTTAACCAAATTGCATTGTTTATTCTGCAGACAAAATCCAAGCTTTACTTGATTCTAGATTTTATAAATGGAGGGCATCTTTTCTTTCAACTTTATCGACAGGGTATCTTCAGGTATTCGTTCATTCAAAGCCTTTTGAGTCACTTGGTGTGGACTATTGTTTTGATTCGGATGCCACTTGGATCTTTCCTTCCTTAGCGAGGATCAGGCAAGGGTTTATACTGCTGAGATTGTTTCTGCCGTTTCACATCTTCACAAGAACGGGATCGTCCATCGAGATCTCAAACCTGAAAACATTCTTATGGATGCAGATGGGCATGTGAGAGAAAGTTGTCCTTGCACATATTTTTGAACCTTTGTAGTTAATACTCATATGCAGTGATAACTATGTATTTTTACAGGTGATGCTTACTGATTTTGGGTTGGCAAAGGAAATTGATGAATCGAGCAGATCGAGCTCCATGTGTGGAACAACAGAATACATGGCCCCTGAAATCATACTCGCAAAAGGTCACAACAAAGATGCAGACTGGTGGAGCGTTGGGATTCTTTTGTATGAAATGTTAAAGGGGCAGGTACTCATCATATTAAACTATACATTGGTTTCTCTGATCACACTAGCATAATTCTCCAATTTTTCTTGTATCTCGATGTTTTCCATAATATCACAATATGTTTTCCCCTCATTACATCATCATCATCATCATTTTAGCCTTTTCTCAATTAATTGGGGTTGGCTACATGATTCTTGGTTCTCCATTCTGCTCTATTAAATACCATATGTTCAGTGAGGCCATAAGTCCCCATATCTTTTCATATTACTTCCAACCACGTTTTTTTGGGCCTACCTCTTGCCCTTTTCAGTCTTTCCACTTGAACTAACTCGTACCTCCTTATCTAAATTTCTTTTATCACTTTCTTAATACATTCAGCCAACTCATTCCATTACATTGACATCATGTTCAGAGTTCCATTTTCCTTCTTCATTATTTCCTTGTCTATTAAATATAAATATAAGTTTAAAAATATATTATTGGTTGCTATTGATAAAAGAAAAAGAATAATATAGGTTGAAGGATGTTTATATATATATATATATATATGCCTTCTTTGTGATACTTCTCCTGTTTTCAGTTTCCCCAAGATTTTCTTGATGTGTTTCCTAGAAGAACAGAATGCCAGCAAATGGAGATTAATTCTATGCTTCTTCTGACATGCATCACGGTGGTAGTAGTGATAGTAGTTTTGTTTATAGTAGCATTTTGTTATTGCAATTGTTGTTGCTCTCTTTACTTTCAAATAGATCCAAATAGAATTTTTTCTTAGTTTTTGACAACATTAGGTGATTCTTGGGGTGGCTTTTGGCAGCCTCCCTTCACACATGTCAACAGGCATAAGCTTCAACAAAGGATCATCAAGGACAAAGTGAAATTGCCACCATTTTTGACCAGTGAAGCACATTCTTTGCTCAAAGGGGTAATAAAATAAATCGCTTAAACTCGTCTTGCATCCATTCTCATTTATTTTGGCAAGGAGCTTATGTTCATGCATTTTCATTTTCAGCTGTTGGAAAAGGAGCCTTCCAAGAGACTGGGTAGTGGTGCTAACGGAGGGGAGGACATTAAGAGGCACAGATGGTTCAAGCAAATAGACTGGAAGAGATTGGAAGAGAGAGAAGTAGTACCAAAATTCAGGCCTGATGTTAGTGGGAGGGAATGCACGGCTAACTTTGATAAGTGTTGGACATCCATGCCGGCAGATGACTCCTCGGCCCCCACGCCCACAGCCGAGGATCACTTCAAGGGATACAGTTATGTGCCTCCTAACCCTTGGCTTTCTGAGCAAGGGTTTAGTTGATAACCTCTATCCTTAACATTGGGTATTCCTTGTTGCACATGCACTAGCATGGCTTGTTATCAGAGCACAAGAACTCCTATGTACAACTAATTGATATGAAAACGTGTGTCCTCCGATTTGTGGTGTTAATTTTAGGCTTGTAATTCCTCATTGACATTTGATGTGAACGGCTTACCCAAAAGTCTGATGTGGTTATGAATTGTCCATGTAATAAGTAAGAACAGCCTCTCTCATAGATTCGTTCTCATAAATCTTCAGCACACCTATGTCGACTGTACTGGGTGCCATCGGTTACAGTAGCCACCACTAGATTTTGTCCTTTCAGCATAATGGCTCATGGGACCTTGAAGCTCTTGCATGGTCTTGGTTAGGGTTTTTGCATGGGATCATGCAAATAATTAGGTTTCTTGCACTTGGTTTGTGACAATGTTATCTGCTAATACACATTGTGTCGAAATGCATTGTGTTTGTACACGAATTCAGATAACATAATTTATGATCTAAACAGTGCCATATACGTCACATGGCATATGCCCTTCAGGGTACTTGCCTGATGACTCACTTTGAAATGTCAAGGAAAATTTCAGAGTTCAAACTGTGTTGAAAACTGCAGAATCAAAAGCCTGTGATAAATTGCAGATAAACATCACCACTGAACAATCTAAGAGAAAAACAGAGAGAAAAATTGCTATGATTTACAGTCGAAAAGAGGAAAAATGCACCATCATCTTGCTTTGCATCTTTTTTTAACTTGTGGGAGGCAGGAATCGATATCTTACTTTCGTAGTAAATAACTTATATATTTACATTGGGTTTTGAGGCCTTGACAGGTGCTTCTTGTGGCAACCTTGAGATTGTGCCTTTGTATTCAGTTTATCTACAAGAGGAAAGCTCAGAATGCCTAGACATCTCGATTTTTCTGAACTTGTAGAACATGATACATGTATGACTTGCCAATGCAATGTGGTAGTTCCGGGGCTTGTTATGCAATTTACAATAGACTCTTTAATATAGGGCATGGCTTAGATAGGGTGTCACCCTTAAACAATCAAAGGCATCCCAGAACCACTCTTTTCAGATATCCTGTTCTATTAAGATAGGAAAAGTATTCTATGATCCATGTGATAAGAGAAAAGCTATGTACTATCATTGTCCTTGTTTGGCTTGAAAGAAATTGGAGAACTTTCGAAAGTGTGGCAGTGGATTTGGCAACCATAAAAAATAAGATCTTATTCAATACATGGAATTGATTTAGAATTACTAAAGAAGGAAGGGGGACTTCAAGAATAGATGTCGATGATAATTTTGATCAATTAATCTTGTTAAGATTTCTTAAGGTGAGGCCTAGAAGTACTTGGCAGCCTCGTTTGAGTGGTTGCTTTAAATTGAATGTTGATGGCTTTTCTATGGGAAATCCAAGTAGGGTTGGGGTGGGTGGAGTATGCAGGGATTCAAGTGGGAATTTAGCTGTCTGTTTTGCAGGATTGTGTGGTGATGCTACTGCGAACTATGTTGAAATGGCAGCAGTCCTACAAGGTATCAAGCTATGGAAGGAGATGAGCTTGGGGGACTCCCTATTGTGGAAGGGGACAAAGAATGCGATGGACTAGTGTAATTGCTTATCTATTACACCTTGTCGAATGAGATATATTTGGTTACACATTAAAGAATTATTTGTTGGCAGCAACATTACCTTCATCCTATATATAGAGAGGCTAATACTTTGGTAGATGACCTTGCTAAGAAGGGGGCATCCTTCCCTCGTTAAGGGTTTTCTTTTATTTGTTCTAATGTTGGTTTCTTTTTTTTCATTTTCTCTGCTATCATGCTTGTAATGACTCTATGATTTAAATAATATTCAACACTCTTGTCAAAAAAGAAGACGAGAGTGTTATGTACCACTTCGGTTCATGGCATGTTCTTTTGGTCCCACTCTTACCCATTTGATTGGACGGTAATAATCATGGTTTATAAAAATGGATTGGCGACCTAGATCGTCCACCTCAAAAACCATGTTGAATTGGTGGATTGACATGTCGGATCAGAGAATCGGCCGAATCGACAAGTTTCTCCTAATTTGTTTTAAAAAAATTGCTATAAATCTCTAAAAATGGTGTTTTCTTAATTTCTAAAGGAAATTAGAAGTGATGCACTATTACTTTCATTACTTGGTAAAAATAGGTGAATACTGAGACATTGTTTTCATATTTGGATGTTTATAATTAAGTGGCACACTATGTAATTTTATTACTTTGTAAAAAAATAAGTGAATACTGAGACATTGGTTTCATGTCTTGAGGTATAAAGCATCCATCTTAAAGAGGATGCAAATAGGTGGTCCATCAAAAAACAATTGTAATTAACGATCTAAATGTTTTCTTAATATAATTATTATTTCTAGTTTTCAATTTTTTTGTTCATATTCATGATCTCCATGTTAAAGATTATATATTCTCAAAAAATTAGGATAAAATTATATTTAAAAACATATATTTATTGCCAAGCCCGTATTTCTACAATATGTGGGATGGCCGCATAAAAATTGTGTTTTTTAATATAGTATTATAATATGGGTGAAGTTTGTATAGAGCAGAGGCTCTAAAAAATCAAAGTAATGCTCACCTTTAAATAGTGTCGAGAAATGGGTCGGTGATCCAGATCATTCTTGAATCGTTTGGATAAGTGAAACGAAAAAAAGAAAAGAAAAAAAAATTAAATAAAAAAATAGAGGCTTACGCATCTTAGAAAATAAAATAAAATGAAAAAGAATGTTTTAAAAACAGTGCATCTAACTAATTCTTGATGCGCATGGTATGGAGGGAACCAAATCCTTTTTCACGGGGAAGAAGCTTTACTTATCACTTCTGAAACAACAATGCTCATCTCAAAGCCGCCCAAAACAAACCAAATGTTATAGAAGATACCAGATTTTGCAATGTTTTGAAAAGCGTTTGAAGTTCTTGGGAATCCCGCAATCACCAGATTCCCGTGGTTTTAGAAATTAATGATGTTTGGGAATCATCAGCAGCAAAGTGCAACCTTTTAAGCATGAAGAATAACACCTGTGGATCATGAAGGAGATTCGTGGTTATAATGTGATTTAGAATAGCGAAGGCAGAATTTCGAATTTATTTGTCGAAAAGGCTTCCCCCTGCTTTTCTTTTTTTTATATATATAGGTGAAGGAGAAGGTTGTTGGGTTTGTGAAACAGTGAGAGGACAAGGAGACACAGAGAGTCCACTAGCAAAGAAGCTGCCTGCCTGCCTGCTCAAGAGAAAACCCTCTCTCCTCTTCAGAATAATTGCTGAGAGAATCTGCCTTTTTCTGGTCCCCTTGCCTTCAAGGATGGATGTATTTGGTCGGTCAATTATGTGAGCAGTTGAGAGATGAGGGTTAGATCATTTTTTTTTTTTGTTTTGTTTTGACCAAGATGGAAGTCACAATTAGCTGCACGATAGATAGAAAGGACTTGCAGTTTAGGTTCCCCAGGGTTGCCCGTCTCCGGATTCTTGAAAACTTGAAAAATTCTAATACCACAACAGGTGTTGCATAATCGTGATTATACTATATAATTGTCTTAAAAGCAATGGTTTAAAAAGCGGATCGGTGATCTTGATCTGGCACCTCAAAAACCGATTCGGATCGGCGAATCCACGATCCGGATCGGGAATGGGCTGAATTGGTTGGATTAAAGCTTCAAAAAAATTCGAAAAAATTATTAAAATTCATTATAAATGTTTTTTTTAAGAATCCAATAAAAAATGAGGGTACTACATTATTAACTTTCATTTTTTTTATCAATTTGTGAATATTGAGATGTTCTTTCCCTGTATAAATTTATTTTAACTATTAAATTTGCGTAACATAAAAGAAAAATCATAGAATTATCATGAATAAAATATATAATTATATATGGACTATTACAAAGAGTAGACTAATCAGTGAAAGAATGACCATTAAAATCTTGTTTTGGAGAAAAACCCTAACCCGTTAAAAAAACCCAAACTATTACAGCCTAACTAACTATAATCCAAAATTATTACAACCTCACTAATTATAATATTATATACTGAAATTATAAATATTAGTTTACATTTTATCATTATTTTATTAGACAAATAATAACAAATTTAAAATATTTTATAATATTATCTAATTTAAAATGTATTATTGATAATTGTAAGAAAAATAGTACATTACATGATTTATAATGTAAAAATTCATAAATAAAATAAAAAATTTGGTTATCAATGTAAAAATTAATAAAATTCATACAAATTTTGAAAATAACACTTCAATTTTTCAAAAATTTATTTTTTTAGGTTTCTATAATAAATTTAATAAAAGAGATTGTTAGTAGAAAGATGGAGATTTCAAATAGAATAAACTTTTTTTTTTTTTTTTATACCTTTCATATTATTTACAAAAATAATTATACTACTATATACAACAAAAATTAACTGTTATATAAAAAATTAATTTTTTTATTTTTTCATTTTTTTATGTCTTTTATATTATTTACAAAAATATTTATATTTATACCAACCACTATATACACAACAAAAATATTTATATTTATAGCAACCACTATATATACAACAAAAATGCAACACATGCCCAAGGGGATTCGAATACAACAAAAATATTTATATTTATACCAACCACTATATACACAACAAAAATGCAACACATGCCCAAGGGGATTCGACCTTGGGACCTCAAGTGAAAAAAACAAAGTCATAACCATCAAAC